CATACTCCATCACCTCTTCAGTATCTTAAAGAGACACAGGCAAATGCCACAGCCCATTTCTGTCAAAAGGCACATGTTTGGGAAACAGTAGTGTCGCCCCAATTAGGGTGTCACCTGGTATGGCCCACACCTCCCTCACTCCACAAGTAACACCCATATTCCTGGGAGTTAATCTGCATAGAAATCCATTGGTTTTTTCAACCAACCAACAAATCCTCCACAAACCAATGATTTCTGCAGGGAAAATACAATTTCCTTTACACCTCCTATGTTTTCTATACAAAAAATAAAAGAAAAAAAATGGAATTTGCACAGGAAAAAACACACACATGTATTTCTATGCATAATAATTCTCCAGAAACACAGGGATGTATGAATATGAGAATCATGAGCAAAAATATTCATTTTCCCCTCAGGTAGAAAACTAATGGAAATTATTTACCTTTGCAAGAAAGATGAAATAGGCAAATATATACCTGCTCCATAACCAGGCTCCCAAGGAGAATCCCAAAAATATAGGTAGCTCTGCTGATTTAGACAGCAAACCAATCCTAGCATTCTTCACCTCCTTGCATTGCAACAGCAACAGTGAGAGTGACTTCATCTGCTACCATTCAGGGGTCCTTGTCCCTTCTGAGTTTAGACACAATCCTATAATTATCTCCCGCAGTGGTTAAACCAGGATGAATTTACTTCAGCAACAATCTATTGTTGTGAGCAGTATACAACAATACCCCTTTGCAGAGCAAAACTCCTTTGCTGTCCCTGTTGCAATACAAAATATTTAGGGGTGATCTGGCATGCATTTTGATCTATTAACTTTACTAAAGACCTTCTCCTCCTAAAGGTAAAATCTGCTAAAACTGAGATCGAGTGCTAGAATTAGTTTGTTTGAACCAACATAGTTGCCTGTATTATTATTATTATTATTATTATTATTATTATTATTAATGCAGGGGAGGGGTTGGATATAGAGCAGAAATGCAGATCTTCATCTATTTCATCCTTACATGAAAAGACAAGTAATTTCCATCGTTTTCTCACTGGAGGAAAATGAATATTTTTTTGCACAGCATCCTCCCAATTCTCCTGTTTTCTGATCCTGCAAGCCTTGCATCCATTACAACACATTTGGCAACAATTTGTTTAGTTATCCCATACTGTAATTCATCTGAAGAAGCCTATGGGACAGCTGCCATATCTACAATACATGAATATACACACAGTCCTTCCCTATTACACAATTATAGCACAATGATTCCATTTTAACCCCCATTGAACCCTGTGGTTTTAGGGGCACTAGGGGTCTCTGACTAAGAATTGTAAATACTCCTCCCTGTGTTGCAGATTCCAGGATTCCACAGTATTTTGCCATGGCTGTTAAACTGGAGTGATAGTAGTATAATTCCATAATCTGCCTTTCCTTCAGTGATCTTCATTTAGCATATATTTCTCTCTTCTTCACGCTCTGTGAACAACTCTCTGAGATATTAACTAGCCCATGGTTATGTAATTATTTCACACTAGCTCTTCTAAGTTCCAGTACAACACTCTAACCACTACACCACAGAATGACTAAATTTATAATGCTATTTTTAAAGTAGTTAGGTAGCATTGCAGTTTTGTGGTCCACAAACAGTTCAGGAACTATTATAATTACAGTTGTAAAAATTAACTTCTATGTTATTCAAAAATGACAAAATAGTTTCAAAACATCAGAATGTCACAATATGTTCATCTGATATACAAAACAAACTTAAGTAGTGAGTAAGCTAGCACACTTTAACTATTAAAGTAACAGACTTTATGGTTACATCATGAAGGAGTAGTTATTTCTTGTTACACTGGAATCACACTGTCATTGAGTTATGCACTGATTGTTGAGAAACTGGACTGATGTAAACTAATAACATATGACTAGTTACTTCCAAGCTCTGAGAGTGACTAACTTTCTCTAGACAAGGGCTATCATTTCTTAATGGCCTTTCCTATATAGAATTTTAGTAACTCTTCACAATCTTGGAAAACAGGCAAATACTACTAGCATTCCCTTGTTTCCCCTATCTTGAAAAAATCTTCTCTTGTCCCTCTTCTTTGTCCAGCTATCGTCCGATCTCTCTTCTTCCTTTTCTTTCTAAGGTTTTGAAATGGGTAGTTTATTCTCACTGTTTTGAGTTTCTCGAAGCCAACTCCATCCTTGATCCCTTTCAGTCCGGTTTCTGCCCACAGCACTCTACTGAGATGGCCCTCACAAAGATCTCCAATGATCTTTTATGGGCCAAGTCTGTGCTCATTCTCCTCGATTTATCTTTGGGATTTGACACCGTGGACTACTGTCTTTTAGTTGATATACTTTCTGACATTAGGTTCTCAAACTCCATTCTCAACTGGTTTAAATCTTACCTGTCAGATAGATCTTTTACAGTGGTCACGGGTGGTCAGACTTCGTCCCCCATTCCCTTATCTGTTGGAGTCCCCCAATGCTCTGTTTTGGGTCCCTACTGTTCTCTCTTTACACATTGTCTCTAGGAAAACTTATCAGCTCTTTTGGTTTTTCCTATCATCTGTACACAAATGACACTCAACTGTATCTTTCTACCCCTGATCTCTTTTTAGGGCTTGAACAGCAAGTTTCTTCATATCTCACAGCTGTCTCTCTGTGGATGTGTCGTTGGCATTTGAAGCTCAACATTCCAAGATGAGCTTCTTGTCTTTCCACCTAAGTCCTCCCTTCAATTCTCTTTCTCTGTTTCTGTCAACACTTTTGACTCCTCTCTGTCATTTATCCCCCATATCCAGGCCACAGCCAAAGCCTGCAGATTCTTCTTTTATAATATTGCCAAAATTCATCCTTTTCTTTTGGCCTCCACTGCCAAGACTCTGATCCACGCTTTGGTGGTCTCCTGATTAGACTACTGTAACCTCCTTCTAGCAGGACTTCCCTTCTCTCATCTTTGCCCTTTAATTTCTATTCAACATTCAGCATCGGCATCATTACTTCCACTCGCTGCTTAGACCATGTTCCCCCTTTGCTATCATCTCTTCACTGGCTCCCCTTTCCCTTCCGTGTCCAATATAAGCTTCAGTTGCTAACTTTCAAACCCTGCATGGGCTAGCCCCCCCTTTACCTATCTGAACTTCTCTCTCTTTACATTCCCACCCATACCCTCCATTCTAGTACTCAAGGCCTTCTGTCCCAACCTAGGATCTCCACTGCTCCATCCCAGATTCATCCCTTCTTGCTGCAGGCTCCTCACTCCTGGAACCTTCTTTCCCCCTCAAACACAGTTGATTACTTCTTTGTCAACTTTTAAATCCGAGTTAAAGACTACCCTGTTCAGGGAGGCATTCCCAGGCACTGTCTAATATACATATATTCCTTCTGTCATTTGGGCAGACAATGGATGCTTCTGTTTAATTGTTTTTAATTGTTCTCTGCTTTTAATTAATTTTTTATTTTACCTATGATTTTTGTATTGTTAGATTGTACGCCTTTGGCAGGTTTTTATTTTAATGCTTTGATTATCTCTTTGTCCAGCACTGTGTACATTGACAGCACTTTAGGAATAAACTTTAATAAAAATAAGATGAACTGAAAGTGAGATAGACGATGCTTTGACTAAAGTCAAAGTTACTGGCTGAGGCTGTAATCCTATACTCACTTCTTTGGGAATAAGCCTCTCTGAACTCAGGGGGGATGCAGACAGTGAAAAGTGCCATCTTCAAGCCCAGGAAGGGGATGGGCAGCTTGACGCCAGGTGCCCCAACCCCTTCCTGAGGACGTCATCGGCGCGCCCACTGTTGCACATGGCAGGCACTCTGATGATGTCCTTCCGGCTCAGTGTCTGGACATGCTGAGCTGGAAGGAGCACGGAAGAGGTGCCTGGCACCTCTTCCGGCACCCCTTTTGGATCCTCTGAAAGGAGCACTATTTTAGCACTCCTTTTCAGAGGTGCCATAAGGGTGGATTGGGACTGAGGCATGGGGCAGCCTTGGTCCCAATCCATGGCTTCTTGGGGCAGCCCATGGCAGCCCATCTGTAAAGGCCCTCAGTGGGACTAATAGGCATGTATAGAATTGCACTGCATACTGAGATTTAGCTCACACTCTCATTCACATCTCTCCCCACCAGCATCTTCCTCTGTATAAAGTTCTTATTGGAAAGACAATTGTGCTTAAGTTGTTTCTAGATCTTTGCATTTCATGTCCCTCTTTGAGCTGTCTGCATGTATTACACAGCTCGGCAGCTGCTTAAATTTCAAAATGCTGGAGACAACAGCTGACATGCTCTTTTACAGCTGATTAAAAAAAATATTTATTTCACTTTCCAAATATTTGGGAATTGGTATGTGATGAATAGACTTCCCTTTATTGAACTCAGGCTATCTAAACTATAGGTTGTTCCCCCCCCCCCACTTTATTCCTTGCTCTGAGATGGTTACAAATAATTCCACATCTCATCAGAAATCACCTCTAGCCTGGCATTCTATATGCACTTTCCTTAGAGTGAGTACCAATGAATTTATTACATATGTTCCAAGATCTCTCTACATATGTTCCAACTGTTCTTATTTGACAGGAATTGTTCCAACAAATCCTCTGCATCCCACTTTTTCAGCTGCTTTTTTAAATGTCCCAGTTTCTGTTTCCTCCTCCCACTTTCTCACTTTGTGCTATTTCAATTGTTATAGACTGATTTCCAAATGCAAAAGTAGACTGCACTCACTTAACTCAGTGAGAGGAAAGGGCAGAATTTTATCCTTACCCTGTAGACTTGGGCAAAAGCAAAGTGTTGCAGCCTCTCCTAGCCCTGAGAAATGCTATACTGAGTATCCAAATAACATTATAGCTGAGCAGAAACTGAATGTTATTGATGTTGTTGTTGTGTACCTGCAGGTTATTTCCAACAGAGAAACCACCAGGTTTTCATGGCAAGATGTTTCAAAGTGGGTTTGCCTTCTTCTGAGGCTGAGAGAACATTACTTGTCCAAGGTCATCCATAGCCAAGCAGGGATTTGAACCCATGTCTCCAGAGTCATAGTCTAACACTCAAACCACTGCACTAATCCCAATGTAAGTCTTTCCATTTCCAAACTCAACACAATAAGCACTGAACCATACTCAAAGAATGCTAATCAAATAAACAGACTGACTAATATTAATACCATTATAATATTAGCACAGTTATCACAACACATCAAATGTATTTCAAAATGCTATTTTCATTTACTATGATTACACCAGGATGTTATGTTGTCATTACTTCTCTATGCAGTATATACTACATTGCATTGTTGTGAGATTTTCTTTTCTTTTATTTTGCAGAATGGCAAGGAAATTCAAAATATCTTACAATGTACTCTTCTCTCTGGGATTCCTGCTCTTATAGTCTGGTAATTGGAGATATCCTGGGAGCTGATGACTCTGAAACAGGGAGCAAGCTTGGAAAAGTTATTTTGGGGGGCCTACATCCAATTAATAGTCCCAGAGTAGACCCAATTGTTGAACTGTAAATCAAAGCTTGTATGAATCCTATTAATTCAGTGGGTCTTATCTGTTTGGGAATAGCAATTGGATGGAGGCCCTAGTAAGCTGAATACAGTTCCAGATTTAAGACTGTTTCTTACCTCAGTTGAACCTGATTTCAAAAAACTGTGTGCTTCTCAAACAAGCTCAAGGATCACACTAAACATTTGTATATAAAATATTGTGTGTTTTATGCACTGTCTGTTCACCTTATTATTGAATTGCATTTTAATTTCACTATTGGGCTATTTACAGTTACAACATATACATTTGAAGTAACAGCAAATATATTGATTACAAACATTTTGCTGGCATGAATGGTACAATTTATGGAAATAGGCTGCCAAGTGGTACACAAGTGAAAAACAGTTTAGGAACTATTGCCCTAGACTACAACTCCCAGAATCTCTCAACAAGCTTTCTGAGTAATGCCCTTTAATGGGCCCTGGAGATACAGCTTAGTAGTTTTGGCCAGAGCCAGGGCAGAGCTCAATGTTTTTTTAGACAAAGTGTCAAAGTAATCTATTTTCCTAAGGCAGTATTTCCACTTTGGTACTTTCTGCCTATGAGGGATCATGATACTTGTAAGCCAACATATCTTAAGGGCACTTGGTTTGGGAAGCCTGACCTAAAGCATGGGTGGGGAACCTTTGGCCCTCCCGATGATGAACTGGAATTTGACATTGAAAGAAGCCATAGGTTCCCTGAGCCCTGTGCTCCCTGCTGAAAGGTAAGGAGGGGGAAATGTCTTGGGAGAGGGTGAGAAAATCCAGCCTTGCTCCCTGATGAAAGAACAGAGAATGGAAAGGAAAGGACAAGGGAGTCAGACATCTGGGTTTGGGAAGTACTAGTTAGTAATCTTGTATGTCATTCATCCAGTTCTCTTGTCTTTTCTACACCTCACATCCTGATTCATAAACTTTGGGTAACTTTGGAGTAAGGACAATAATAGACCAGCTTTGTTTTCTTGCTCCTGTTTCTCTGATCCATTCTCCTCACACTTTCACTTCTTCAATATCTCTATCAGATGTTTCACTCCAATACTGAGAAACTATCTTTCTTGTGTTGAAGGGATAGGAAAATAAGTAGACACAACTGGCTAGGATACCATCATCTTGCTCTTGGGGATGGACCTTACCTACTGCAACTGCCACCAGAAGGGTTGCTATAGTACCACCTTTGTTGCCCTGAAGGAATGGGAAAAGAACTCCTGAAGCACATCAGTTCCAAAATAGGCATACTCCCATGCATTCATCCTCCCCTTCTTCTTCTCATCACTTGTGTCTTGTGTCTTTTCAGCTGTACACCAGGGGACAGAAATTAAGTATTTATTAAGCCACTCAGAGAGTGAAAAGTGAGATTTAAAAAAAAATAAAGAAATAATACTAAGGTTGGAAATTGACAGCTTGGGGTGTAGGGAAGGAAGAAATATTTGAAAATATTTGAAAATGATCAAAATACTTTGTGTGTGTGTGTGTGTGTGTGTTTAAAAACCCTGGCTCTGTCTGTACAGACCAGAATACTCTGGGAGCAGCCTGGAGAATTCTGGCCCCAAAGCTGCCCTAATGTCCCCCTGTTACCTGGGCACTCGTAATGTCACGTGGCTATTCACATGTGCATCCCAGTGTACCACCCAGCACAGCCACCACTATGGTGACTTGCTTCTGGGAAGATTCAGAGAAAAGTTATTTTAATCTACCGTATTTTCCTTCGTATAAGA